GCGCCTGGCTTCGGCGTGGGGAAGTCGTTCACGCACGACGTCGCGCGCTTCCTCTTCCCCTCCTCGGCGAGGGACCACTCGCGGAGCAGCTGGCGGAAGTCGGCTATCCCGATCCCGTTCTCCAACTCGCTTAACTCGCGTGGAACGCCGTACGCCCTCTCGAGGTATCGGGCCAGGCTCAGGTCCACCGCCTTGTCGATCAATCGGCCCTGCTCCTCGGCGGGAAGCATCGTCTGTTTCTTCTCCTTCTTGGCGGTGTGCTCCGTGTTCCGGGTCTTCTTCTTCGCGCACAGCTTCTTGCACGGCCTCTTACCTGTCCAGAGGGGAACGTTTTGTTTGAAAATTATTTTCTTTTTTCTGGGCTGAACTTTTTATTCGAGTTGTTCCATCTTTTTTTTTTTTTTTTTTTTTTTTTTTAATGAGATCTTGGAAATTTACGATGTGAGGAATTAGTAATCTTTTGGCAGTGAAATTTTTCGATTTTTACGAGTTAATCCAATGAAATGATTTTATTGGATTTGAAATTAATTTTTTAGCAATGGAATTGTGATCTTGGGGCAATTATTTTAGGGGAAATTTTTTTATTCGATTTGTGTTATTCGATTTTTTTTGTTTTTATTTTTTTAGCGAGCAAGATCTTGGGATTTTAGAGTCTATGGTTTAGATATGAGAAATTGGTAATCTTTTTTCTTTTTGACAATGAAATTACGATTTTTATGATTTTTAGTAGTGGATATACCAAATGTTTTTATTGGATTTGAAATTAATTTTTTAGCAATGGAATTGTGATCTTGGGGTTTTAGAAACTATGGTTTAGGTTAAATATTATGAATAAATTAGTAATCTTTTGGCAATGAAATTACGATCTTCAAGTTAATGATTAATAGGTAAATACTAATGATTTAATTAAATTTGAAATTTTTTTTTTAATTTTTTAGTGATAGAATCGTGATCTTTGATAGTAAATAAGAGTGATTCTATTGGATTTGACATTTTCTAATTTTTTTTAATAGAATTGTGAGCTTAAGTTAATAATAAATATTAAATTATTAAAAATTTGATAATATTTTAGTAATGAAATTGTGATATAATAATGAATGTGTCAAAATGAATATAGCAATCGAATTGAATTTGAAAATATTAAAAATCAAAATATATATTTTTGATGCCCAAATATAAAGGATTAAAAAACGTTAGATAGATTTTTAGAAATACGATTTTATATTAAAAGTTACCTAACCTGATCGATATATTCATCGAGACATTCTGAAAAAAAAAAAAAAAAAAGTTTGGAAAGGATCGATCAAAGTTTTAAATTTCGCAGAGAAATAAGTATGATAAGGAGGAAGACACGATTTGTGCATATTTTCTCACCCACTCTCAGCCACCCTTTTCTTTTTCATCGCGGTGTCAATATTTTATTTCCATTACATCGTAAATCTTTCCCTACACACACCTATATCACGCGCCTATGTATATTTACCAGCATATATAGCAAAATGGAAAAATAATATTTTCGAATGCCTGCAGAGTGTCTGGTGAGAAAAAAAAGTGCGAATCGTGCGTGTTTGAAAAAAGTACTATTTTATTACAACGACAAATGCAATTATAAACGTACATATGATATTTCGATGCAATCACGTCGTTATTTAACCCATTCTCTTTGAATTGATAAAACGATAAAATTTTTTTTTATTAAATTAAAGAAAAAGAAAAGAAAAACACTAATTAAATCATCTTGTTAATTAACTTAGATCGATAAAAAATATTTCCAGCAAAGAAGAACTATTAATAAAATTTCAGATTCTTCCAAGAATTATGATTTAAACATCAAAATAAAGAAAAAAAAAAAATATTAAATTAAAACCTTATCAATTAATTTACATTAATAAAAAATATTTCCAATAAAGAAAATTATAATAAAATTATTAATAAAATTAAGATCCTTTCAAGAATTATAATTTAAATATAAAAATAAAGAAAAAAAAAAAGAAAAACATTAATTAAATCTAACTTTGTCAATTAACTTACATCGATAAGAAATATTTCCAGCAGAGAACAACTATTAATAAAATTTCAGATCCTGCCAAGAATTATAATTTAAACGTCAAAATAAAAAAAAAAAAGAAAAAGAAACGCTAAATAATCTCGTCAATTAACTTGGATCGATAAAAAAATATAATTTATAAACGTCATCCTAAGAATTTATAATTTAAACTTTAATCAACCAAGATAGAGAGGAAGGAAGTAACGATATACCACTCACCTACGCATTCCTCTTTCTGCTTGGGCACGCGACCTTTGCACGCGTCCAGATTCGCCTGAATGTCATCCTGGCCCGCGATCGGGGCGGGTCGCACGCACTGCACCTTTCGATGCCTCGTTCCTTTCTTTCCGTCGCAGGCGCTACACTTGCTCCATTGACTCACGCGCCACCTTTTAAAAACACAACAATACCCCGTACGATAACCCAATTCTAGAATAATTGCACATTCTTCGCCGCAGCACGTACTTGGCGGGACACGCATGCGTATTGCACACTCGAGATTTCGGCTCTGGCCGTGGTATGCCGTTGCAAAAGCTTGACACCACCTTTCCTCCGTATTGTTCGATGCACGTTGGCTGCGAAATCTAAAACGAATCGATACATATCGGTATATATATATGTATTTGTGTGAGCCAGGAGAAATAAAAAGAAAAATTGCAACGATTCAAAAGGCAATCAGCCTCGTTGAAACGGAAGAGGGAAAATCGTATTCGTATGCGGCAATTGGGAATTATATTAATTGATTTATTATCGCGCCATCCTTTCGTCACGCGATGTGGAAAGGAAAGATGAACGAAATGCAATCGCGTTTAAATACATGAAAATATAAACAGTACGTATATCATGATATTTCAATAATATGTACATATCACAATTTATAGTCTGCTATATTGATGCTTTTTTTATCCTTAAAAAAAATATACACAAAATGTATACGATATTTAAAGAATCAGATTTCTAATTAAATTCCATTTCTCTTTGTTGTGAAAATTCCAGTATTCTATATATACGTATATCATGATATTTCAATCATACACATATATCACATAATTTATAGTCTGCTATATTGATGCTTTTTTTATCCTTAAAAGAAATAGACACAAAATGTATATGATATTTAAAGAATCAGATTTCTAATTAAGTTCCATTTCTCTTTGTTGTGAAAATTCCAATATTCTATACGTATATCATGATATTTCAATCATACACATATATCACATAATTTATAGTCTGCTATATTGATGCTTTTTTTATCCTTAAAAGAAATATACACAAAATGTATATGATATTTAAAGAATCAGATTTCTAATTAAGTTCCATTTCTCTTTGTTGTGAAAATTCCAGTATTCTATTAGTTATCGATACACTGATATATTCGTTTCTTTCATAGCAAGAAATTAGCAAGATAATCGCGTTGTAGCGTGATTGTCGAGCAATTGATCATAATCGAACCACTATATCGTTATCGATAAGGTCTCGATATCCCTATATAATGGAAGCAAAATATGCATCACACATATTGTAATAACGAAATTGTTTCCATAACGATATTGTAAATTGATCACGTTCACAAAATTATAATAATTATTTCGTTATATATATATATGTACATCAATGACTCGACTTGGATAATGAAAATTACCATGGTTCCACCTGCGCATCTGACGCTGCATTCGGACCATTCAGTGAAATCCCAAAGATATTTAGGCTTGTACGTGGTATCGGTCGACATCACGTAATACAGATAATGAACCCCCAAAATTTTATCTTGCAGTATTAAATACTGAAAAAAAAAAAAGAAATTTTAATGCAAAAATCATTTTCGTTTCATCAAAAAAAGATCGCATCCCGAACAAACCTGAAATTCAAGATCCTCGCTGATCGGTCCTTTTATAAAAATTTCCTCCAGATTTTTATCAGGTCTTATGTACATAAGGATGCTGTTCGCGCATTCGTAATCTCCGGCTCTCTCTATGACGCTATACGTCGTTGAAA